ATTATATTTACTCCTCCCCAAGCTCTTTGAGCTTCCTTGCTTTCTTCCTCTTTTCTGCCTTTTTTTTTTTTAAGCCTCCAGCACCTAGCATAACACTCGATACATCATAGGCACTTAATAATAGCTTGAATGATTGAATACGTGAATGAATGGTGCTGGATAGAGCAACTAATGAACTTGGGAGGAAATGTGCCATCCCAGAAAAGGTGCTTAGTGTATGGCTGGCTAGAGTATTAGAAGTTACGGACCTGAATGAAATTCTTGAAACTGCATGAATGAAGCTGTGAACATAGACAAAGCATGTTTTCCCCTTCACCCTCTATAATAAAAGAGCCTACTCCTACTTTTTGCAGCCAAACAAGTATAACTTTTGATCTCGTTTAACCAGTCCCTCAGGAAGGGCGTTCCCCGCCCCCTTTCTTTCTGCCTCAGGCTAATCTTCAGCCATCAGGTACCTTCTTGTATGAATCAGAACTGAACAAGATGAACTCCTTTGCTTTGAGGGAAGTTTGCTCTGCTTTGAGCATGAGAAAACCCTTCCTGGTGTTTGTTTTTTCCTCTTTCCTCTCTGTCTGTGGCTTTTCTGACAGCACAAAGACTGGTAGAGTTGGAAGGGATCTCAGAAATCATGCAGGCCCGAGCTTCTCACATTACATATGAAGGAACTTGCCCAACATCACACAGCCCCATAGCAGAGCCACTTCTGCCAGGCGGTATGGGATGGGCCTGTCTGGGATGTCATGCTGCCTCCCCGGAATTCAGCTGTAGGATCCCTGCTGCCTCTCTGTACTGCCTCTGCCTTATGATCTGAAGTCAGGACTGAATGAGTGATCTGTTTATCTTTAGAGATCAGATCACAAAAGAAAAAGTTTATTTTCCAAACTTGGTGAAATGTTTTGTATTTATAATGGGTTTTTCCCCACTTAAGAACATTTAGGATCCATAAAGTGAGAGAGGTGTAACCCTGGCAAATAATTTTGCTCATAGAGATTTCTTCCTTCCTTCTAAGAGCTACATAATCTTAAAGTTTCTGGGACCATGGGGCAGCTAAGTGGTGCAGTGGATAGAGCTGCAGCCTTGGAGTTAGGAGGACCAGATTTCAAATCTGGCCTCAGACACTTGACACTTACTAGCTGTGTGACCCTGGGCAAGTCACTTAACCCCGTTGTTTCACCCAAAAAAAAAAAAAAAGTTTCTGGGACCAAAGACAGAGAAAATGGATTGACATTCAAATATCCTTTCATTTAAACCTCTCAGAAATGCAGTGTGGAGATGATTAAAAATCAATGACAGAAGGACAGAGCCATTCAGTGACTTCCTCCTGGTTTTCCAGGGCAGGGTGTTTATCTATAAATCTGTAAGAACTCGTTTTCCTGAGTTTTGATTCAAGAGGTCCTCCAATATGGTCTCAAGGCCACGATTAACACGATGTAACAGATCAGCAGCTAGGACTCCAGGAAGGACTTCCTCCACAGATGTCAGGTAATCATCTCTGACTGATGTCATCTCTGCTCTGAGGGTTCAAAACGAGGAAGTACACATTTTAGACATGGGGAATTCTCTCACATTAACGGATGGAGATGGAAGACAGAAGTTGCATTTGGGGGACAGCAGGGTCCAGTGGCTCCTCGTTTTATCAGGTGAAGAACCACTGAATCGTAAGATGTTAACTCTAGCACCATGTACTGGGCCTTTCGGATCATCTGGACAGAATTCTCATCACTAGAAGTGGTACCAGAATTACTGTTACCAGATCCTCTAAACTACTACTGCCCACTTTTTATTCCAAGTGCCACCATTCACGCCTCTCTTGCTTAGACTATCATAATAAACCTTTTAACTGATTCTTTCTATATAGATTCTCTCCCCTCTCCTAATTCATCATACACATCTCTACCAGAATAATTCTTCTAATGCCCAGATCTTATTACATCACTTTTCTAAACAAAACCTTTCGGAGATTCTCCGTTACCTACCACGTAAAATCCAAATCCCTTATTCTGATGTTTTAGGCCTTCAATGACCCAGTCCCACTTTCCTTTCTAACTTTATTTTACATGACTCCTTGGGTCAATCAAACTAAGTTATTTGCTAGACTGTGAACATGTATCTCTCTTTTTGATGTCTTTTTGCTCATACGATCCCCAATGATGCAGAGTCTGTGTTCCTCTCAATCTCTATACCATCACACATTCCCTCCTCCATCTTTCTGCTCACCAAGAATAAGGTGACTCTTCTCCTAGACTATTTCTGTGATCTTTCCATTATTCCTTCCCTCATTCAACAAATCATAGACTTAAGACTAGAATAGACCTTAGGAATCATCCAGGCTAAAGGTTTTTAACTTGGGATTTTTATATCCCCAAAAGACCAATGGATAGATTTCAGGAAGGTCTAGTCAAGGAGTTGCATTAAATTGTGCGTGTGTGTGTTCGCGTGGTGCCAAAGCTCCTCTTCAGGAACATTAATAGGATGATAGCTTGAAAGGGTACCAAGATAGGGAAGGGAGGTTTGGGGTTTTTGTTATTTTTTAGGATAGAGAAGACTGGAACATTTTTGTAGGCAGAGGTAAAAAAGGGAGAGATTGAAATTGAGTTTCCTAATCTGTAAGAAATGAGGAGGTTGGACCAGATCGGGGGTCCTGGATATATTTTGTGCCATTCATCTCTTAAGCAGTCCAGAGAAGCCTATAGACCTCTTCTCAAAATAATGTTTTTCTTTTTTTTTATATACTTATCTTATTTATTTTTTTTTTGTTACATTTTGAGTTCGAAGTTGTCTCCCTCCCTCCCAACCCCACATTACAGAAAGCCGACATCTGATACAGATATATATATGAACTATACAACATATACTTCCATATATCAGTTCTTTCTCTGGAGACGGATAGCATTTTCCTTCATAAGTCCCTTATAATTGATTTGAATATTCATATTACTCAGAATAGCTTAGTCATTTACAGTTACTCTCTGAACAGTATTGCTGTTACTATATACAATGTTCTCTGGGTTCTGCTCATTTCACTCTTGATTATTTCATCTAAGTCTTTCCACGTTTTTCTAAAATCAACCTGCTCATCATTTCTTACAGTACAGTAGTATTCCATCACAATTATATACCACAACTTATTCAGCCATTCTCAAAGTAATACTTTTCAATGCACAAAGGAATTCTTTTTCATATTAATTTGGAGAAAATCCCATCAATTCAAAAGGCTAAAAAATCATTGGGATAAGGATATCTGAGAATGAGTGGGCACTTAAACGTAGCTTACTATCAGTGGATGACCTGGAATCTTTTTGTGCACAGATAATGCCAAAATAAAAGCACCTTTGGACATGTACTGTTGCTTCACACATCTGCAATTAGGTGCTAAAAATCCATGGAAGCCAGACATGCTAAAAGTCGCTGAAGGTATCTGCATTAATCAATTAGTCTTTACAGGAAACTATCAGGCCCTATATCTTCAAGACTACCCAAAACTAAACTAAAAAACAAAACTCCTCTGAAAACTCCTCTTTTTCTTAAAAACACTGACAACGTAGCTATACATTTTAAAAAGGACAAGATTTATAACCTATTACTTGTCACAATACAGGATTCATAAAAAATAGCAGCTAATGTATTACTTAAAATGATAAATGCTGAATTTCAAGGTCATTGTCATATTTGAAAATAAACAAACACCATGAAGTTGGTGTTTAAAAACAGCTTATTGAAAACCCCTTAGAGAAGGGATTTGGTATAAATAATTTACTTACTATACATTAAGAAAAACCTTATAGAGTAACAAATGAAATTAAATTCTTTATATAAGTACATTAAGCATTCTTGAAAAAGGTAATTTTCCCATTTGTGGTTTTCTTATACCCTGAATTATGAGAATATTTGTACACAATGAACAAAAGTTTAACTTAAGTGCAAAGTACATTGATCCTCCTTCCATTTTCTCCTTTCCATCTAGTTTGAGGGGGAAATTTAAAATAATTTGAAATTTGGTAATTTAACATATAAAAATTATTTTAAAAAACTTATGTCATATCATTAGCATGTAAAAAAATACAATATTTCCATAAAATTCTTAAGAATTTTAGAAAATAGATTTGAATCCATTTCCCCCAATGAAAGATAGAGAAAGTATCAAATCTAGTCTATTTTTAGAGGGCAGGCTCAGGGACAGAAGATACTATAAGCAATCTAACTTGGTGACATATTTAAAAAAACTATCATGTAACTCTGTATTTCCATCCTAGTCAGATCAGGGATCCAAAAATGCTACCAGATTTAAAGAATTCTTTATTAGGATGGTTGTTTTTCACTTGCCCTGTTTCCAGAAGTTGCTTAACATTTCTTTAGTGTAAAAGTTTTATTTTGTGATATGCAGGGACTAATATTTTTCTTTAGCCACTAATTATACTCTTCTGAGAGCTACAAAGTATAAAAACCAAGTATTAATAGAGTTCTCCTATGGAGACATTATTTGTGCCATGTACACATGTGACAAGCATATCTTGAGGTCATTTGTTCCAAAGAAATAAAACAACAAACCAACTGAACGGACAAAGTTCCCAAAGAAGAAAAAAAAATAAGGAACTAAGGAATGTAAATTGTAAAGAGGAAATATTGGGCATTCATATCTCTGGAGAAGTCAGAAGTCTTCTGGGGAGAAGTTGTGAAAACAAAACACAATAATTACACAAATAAAACAAAATAGTACTTTTTTGAAACTTACAGGGAAAAACAATACTTATATCCCATAGGAAGATTACAGATTTTCTTTAGAATTTTTCAACTGGAAAAATAAAATTCAAAACCAAATATACTCTGAACTCTTAACATTTGAAAAAAGATTACATAGTTGCCACAAAAATATTTTTTAGAGTGTTATGAGATGCTTATTATGCTAGACTTCCCTTTATATGCTCTGGTTCTATAATAGGAAAGCAATCTGTAGTTCATAAGACTGTCATGAATATGCTAAAGAAAAAAAAACCAGAGAATTATTTGTAAAAACAAAACAACCTTTAATTACTTGTCTAGAATGTTAGACTGAAATATCAATGTTCCATTGATTACCTTAGGTAGGAAGAATGAAGATGGCCATTGTATCATCTTCCAAAACATAAATACATAGGTTTCACATATATGGACATGAAAATATACAGCTGAATATTTCAACAGTTCTTAAAAGAAACATGCATGCCTTTTTCCTTCTTCAAAATGGCTCTTCCAGGGGGATCAGTGACCCTGATTGTCCATCCGATTAAATAAAGTTTGATCATCGTCACATTCTATGGTCTCTAATAAAGCATGTCTATCTTCGCTGGCATATGGGGATAACTGGGCTTTTTTGGAAGTAGTTGTCAACTGACTCCAGGTGATATCGGTGTTTTTAAAAGCATGCAGAAGGAAGATGCCATTAACAATGGTGAAGAATCCACTCAGTGTCCCAATGACATCACCAGCATTCATACTATACCACTCTTTGAATAAGATGGCAGAACACGTCACTACTATAGATGTGAAGAAAACATAATAAATAGGAGTCACTAGAGATGTATTGAATGTATCCAATGCTTTGTTGAGATAATTAACCTGAGTACTGACTGAGGCAATCATTGTCACCAACAAAATAAAGACGAATGGATCCTTGTAGACTGGCTTCTGTTCCAATAGCTCCTTGATGGCGATTCCTAAGCCCTTGACAGAAGAAACTGAAAATACTCCAAATACTGAACAAATTGAAATGTAGATTAATATATTGGTCTGACCTTTCTTTGGAGCAACAACCACAATCAGCACCACAGAGATCACAATTACAACCACAGCAAAGGAAACAAATGCTGTTAGGAAAGACAGAGAGAGAGGGGGAGAGAGAGAAAAAAAAAAAAGCAAAGTCAGACAATGCTTTCAAGGTATTCTTCCAAAGCACTTTGTTTATATTAAGTTAGGAAGCCACTGTTTCCACTAGTTTGGAACCAGAAACAAAATAGCAAAGCGTCGTGTGTGTGTGTGTGTGTGTGTGTGTGTGTGTGTGTGTGTTGTGCATGTGCGTGCTCCTGCACACATGCAATGCTAACAGTAAGTATCAATATTTTTCTTTCTAGCCAATTAACAGTAATGCCCAAGGAAAAGTCATAATCTCTTCAAGAAGCCTAGTAAGGAACAAAGTAGTTATAGATCAGAGAGGTATCATTGGTTAGTGGAAAGAGTGTCAGTTTTAGAGTCAGGAAGACCTGGAATTAAATCCTGCCTCTGACACATTATTTGACCAGGTAAGTCTCTTAAGCTTTCAGTGCCTTTCCCTGGGACTAGAAATTACATAAGATGCCAATCTGCACTGGTAAAGAGTTTTCCATATTGGAATACATAGGTCTGGATTTTCCCTCCTACCAAAAAAAAAAGGGGAACAAATATTCCAAATACTATAGACACGGGTGTGAAGTAGAATGTCAGGTAAGTGTTTATTAACACTTACAGTTTTAATTACAAACCTGGATCCCTTAGCTTTATTTCCATATCATGTAGAGATGTGACTTCCTCTTCTTTGGGAGCATGAATAACCATCACAGTTGACCCCAAGATACTTAACATGCAGCCTATTTTCCCATGAATGTTCAGTCTCTCATTTAAAAAATGGGCCGACAATACTGCACTGTTGGCGATGAAAAGAAAAAACAACAAGAAGCAATCATTCTGATTCAACTAACTTTTGATTACATAGTGATTAAGAAGTCACAATATGGCACACGTTATTCTGTACCCTAACCAACTGATCTTGATCAATACTGATATGTTCTCAAAGCTTCCTCAATTTTCTTAAATGAAAACAGGGCTAAACTATAAATAAGGATCTCTGTAGGCTGCAAATTTACTTTTTAAACCACATATTAACATTATCTTATTGTATTTTTATTCATTTTGTTAAATAGTTCCCAATTACATTTTGATCTGGTTTAGGCCAAGCTCAGGAGTGTTATGGGCTGCATGTGGTCTTTGGGCCATGTGTTTAACACCTCTGATTTAACCCATGTTCAACCCCCTCAACCTCAGTCCTTTCAGGAAGGCTTTAAAGTTGAAGGTCATCGCTTTAATCATTCTGTGAACTGCAAAATCTTGTACATTTTTTTTAACATTCCTACTTTTCATTGCAAAACTGGCAGAAATTAAAAAAAAAACCCCATCCTCCCAATTTCTATTTTAACATCTTACCCGTTTGACAGAATATTCATCTTAGGATGGAAAAGTATAGGAAAGCCCCAGGGAAGAGGACATGCATATTGAAGACCCAGGAAAATGTAGGAGGCGGAGGCTATATGGTTTGTACTGGAGGTTAACTGTGATTGTTGACAAAGAGGGGAAAGAAAAGGAGCTTTCGTAAAAGCATCATGGGTCCAAGAGTTGGAAGGGGTCATGGACCTGCCAAAATGCATCTATATTTGGGGGTAAAATAAGGACAAACTCAGAAAAAATGAAGCCACGTTCTTCCATGAACTAAATATTCAGATTCAGAAGAAAGAGCTCTGGATTTGTGGTCAAAGGACATGGGTTCAAATTCTGCATCTGCTGCTTTACTGGCTGTGTGAACTTGAGCAAGTCTCGTGACCTTGTGGGCTCCAGTTTCCTTATCTGTAAAATGGGTGGAGGGTAGGTTTGGATTAGATAGTCTTTAAGATTCCTTCCAGCTCAAATTGTATGATCCTATCATACTTCACCTTAGTTTGATTTAAATAGGAAAATGACAATTTTTGGTATGAAATCAGAAGAATTCTAAACAAAAGCAGAATGCAGACAAGTACAAATTTTAGCAAAAGTTCAAACAGTGACTCCAAATGAATACTGCTATCTTTTCAGGCTTATTCATAATCATTACCATGAGCAATGGCTTAAGAAAGCAGGAGTTTGGCAGCACTCTTTGCAAGACGAAATGTTAAAAAATATTCTCAGCTTAAGCCAAGTGGGAAACCAAGCAGATAATGATGACTATGTGGAATATTCCAAGAGAAGAATATTTCTATTTGTACCTCTGACATATATATGCACATATATATACAGATGTGTATGTATGTATATATTATATATATACATATATATTCTTATGGTTTAAGATTATTATGGCATGAAATACCCTTACACGTAGTTCTTCCTTAGTCTCACATACCTTATAAGAACACTCAGTGCCCCCAAAGGGGTAACCAATGTTGCAGGTGCAAAAGCATATGCAGCAAAATTTGCAGCCTCTCCTATTCCCACTATAAAGCAAACAGGATTGTTGACACGAATGTTAATTTAATTTATTAGAAGATAAAAATAAATAACACATAGCAGTGAACTCATACCAAAGATCGGTCTAAGCAGAAATGAATAAATTATACGTGAAAAGTTTTGAGGTTTGAAATTAATCCAGAAAACCTATTAGTGCTTCAAAGCATACTGTCCTATAATAAACCAGAGAATAAAACTGATCTAAGACAAAATGGTTGACAGTCACACTCAAAGAAAAGACAGATTAATACACATTTAAAAGACTTCCAAAACACAGTTCCAATTGCACCTGAGTAGCCAAATGAAAACTAGTAAAGGAAAGCCTTGGGAATGCTAAGGACCATTTCTGTTTCTGTCCAAGAAGCTTCACTGTTTTACAAAACAAAGAATGGAGTTAGCAAAATTAGAGGGATCTATAGATGTGACCAACAGTGTGATGTAGGTAAAAGCCTGTCAATAAGCATTTAGTTAGAGCCTACTCTGCTAAGTGCTGGGAATACAAAGAGAGTCAAAAAACAATCTCTGCTCTCAAAGAACTCACAGTCAACTAGGGAAGACAACATAAAAACAACTACATACAAACAAGACAGAAAAGGGAAAAATTGGAAATAATCTACAGGAGAAAAGTATTTGAATTAAGGAAGATCAGGAAAGATTTCTTGCAGAAGGTAGAATTTTAGCGGGGACTTGAGGGAAGCCGAGAGGCAGAGAAAAAGAAGGAGAACATTCCAGGCATTGGGGGCAACCAATGAAAATGAATAGAGTTGAGAGATAAGAGTGTCTTATGTGAATAGCAGCAAGGAAGCCAGTGCCACCGGATGGCAGAGTACATGAGGAGATTTAAGGAGTAAGAAGCCTGGAACCTCCCACAGAACAGTCTAATCAGATGTTCTTTAGCTGGCCAATGTCTACAAATGTGCAACATTCAAAAGCTCACAAGATCATCTCCAAATTTAATCCTCCTTATGCCTGAAATACAATTAATTTCTAATGCAAGGGTAAACCTTAGATGATTCTGGGCCAAAGTGTTGTCCTGTTACCACTAGGAAATTTGCTCACGGATTTTAGGATGTCCAGCTGGTAAACTCCACCCCACCCCCAACTTCATACACCTTATACCAGGAATTGACATACAGAAATAAATAAAAGGCCAACAGTAAGAGAAGCACTTCCTCCCATGTAACACATTTTCCTCTTTCGCCTATAGATGGTGGGGTTCTTTTTTCCTAGTTAACCTACCAAGTGTAGATTGCTTTAGGAAAATATGATATATAGAAATCTGAAATTATAGATTAGATTGATCAGGGGATAGCTACTTATACTTTCTGGTTGGACTAGGTCCTTCCCTGTAGGAACAGAGAGGACATGTTGATTTTTGTGTTGTTGAGTCATTTTTTTAGTCGTTCTCAACTCTTCATGACCCCATTTGGGGTTTTCTTGGCAAAGATACTGGAATGATTTGCCATTTCCTTCTCCAGCTCATTTTACAGATGAGGAAACTGAGACAACAGGGCTAAGTGACTTGCCCAGGCTCACACAGTTGGCAAGTGTCTGAGGCCAAATTTAAGAAGATGAATCTTCCTGACTCCAGGTCTGGTACTCTATCCACTGCACCACCTAGCTAACTGATATGTTGATATAAACAGCTAGAATGACTGTTTAGTATAGGGGTGGGAAACCTTCAGCCTTAAGGCCACATGTAGCCTTAAGGCCCTAGGTTCCCCACCCCTGGCTTTAGTCCTTCATGTGAACACCTCCAAAAATTCTACTTATCTCCATGTCTCCATGTGTATATATATTCTTGTCATAACTAGACTCAAAAGATGAATTTGATGGGTCTGCTCCTGGAGAAATACATTTGTAACAGACACTAGCTCTCTGCACTTGTGAACATTCAAAAGTACAAACCCCAACTATTAGGAGCCACTCAGGTCAGTCTACAGTCCTGACAGAGTGGCCAGTTCCTGGTTGGCCTTCAAGTATTCAGTGGTATGTAAATCAGGAGGAGAGGTACCCCAGGTGTCTGGGTCATAAGCTGAAACTTGACCTCAATGTATCTTTTATTTTAACATCAGTAATATCTAGCTAAGTTCCCTATGATCATGAGCTATGTCTTTCTCCCTCAAATCCAAATTGCCCATTAACACTGCTACGTTAGGAAAAGGCCTCCGTAGGGTTCTTTTGATGTACTTTCTCACCTAGTACATCTAAAATGATTAAAAATGTGGTCACAAAACCATGTCTCTGGGCCATGGCAATTACATAAAATGAAGTATATTTGTATTTCATTTCAGATACTTATCAGTTTATTGCCCAAAACTTCAATGCCAACTACCTATTTTTCCTCTCCTGTATTTGAGCAAAGGGAATCTAGGAACTACTTCCAACTCTGCCACAGACTAATTGTGCATCTTGGCCCACCACTTCTTGTTAGGCCACTGTTCCTTTCTCTATATGGGGTTGCAAATAAAGTGATTTCTAAGACATCTTCTAGGTCATGAACCTATATTTGTTCCTGTAGGTACATAATTTTCTCCTTAAATCTTAGCTCTAAGAAAGGGTGTATGAAAATTATTTAATTTTCTCATTCTTGGCCCAATACAATCCTCAACAACCTAATCAAATTAGAATGATGGAAAACCCCTTTGAAATTGTGAAGTGCCATATAAACAAGAGGTATATTGTTATTAATTCATCTTTGAGATTCTTACCTATTGTATCTCACAATGACAAAGTTAATAGGTAGCAAAGTTGATTTTCATCTAAAATGTCTCCCTTCTATGAGCAAATTCTCAAAGTTCCTGAAAAACACTGCTCTAGGATGCAAAACCACAAGAAAGTTCTAAGCTTTTGGCTACAAAGAGTAGGTGATTCGTTAAGTGGTTGAAAGGTAATAATATTTAAGATTTCCTTTTAGCCAAGTGTCTGGGGCTGAACCAGTTTTTATTCTAAGATGAGAAGGAAGAGACACCTGCCACAGCCCTACTGGCATCTCACCAAGGGGTTTGGAGGTTCTCTCTGGAACCAGACACTTCTGCAACCCTAGACCAGGAGAGACAGGAGACAGACAGAGGTAAGGAATCGCAGGATCAGAGACAGTTGGGAGCAGGTTGAGGCATGAGTGTGACTTGTTTTTCTTTCCTCATCTTGAAGGGCAAGCAGTGACTTATTTTAACCATGTTCTGCTCTAACAAGAACAAGATAACACTTAAGAGATATACTGATATCACAGTTACAGTTTCAGAGCAGAAAAAAAACTAGGTATGTGAAGAAATGTGTGTGAGACCAGAATTTAAAGGGGACATATATGATTGAATATCACATTGAACATATCTCCTTTCCCTCCTCTACTCCAGGACTATAAAGACAGTACAAAGGAAATAAAAGTCATTTGAGCTGTACAATTAAATGGTATGTCCATTCACATAAATATACAAAGACATACACATTGTTCTGTTTTTGATGCTAGTTGTGTGACCCTGGGCAAATCACTTAACCTTGCTGTTCTAGGCAACTCTCTCTGATTATAAATTGAGAAGGCACATTTTTATTGGTAGAGAGTTTCCTCATCTGGGAAACAAGTAAAATCAGGTTCAGTGCTTGTCCTTATATACATTGGCTACTTCTATACAGAAGCTTGGTAGATGGATTTAATCTCTACCATGGAGAGATTCTACTCTTACCAAATTCTAAAAGTATCATACTCTCCATCTTTGTCATTTCACAGCTGTATTGTAGGTATCAGATACTTACTTGAGAGTAATCCTGCCCACCAGAGCCATTCCTTCAGGTAAGAATGTCCACCATGCCCTAAAAAAATAAGCAAATTCTAACATGGAAAGTGATGAAACCCAAACTCAGAGAAGCATTACTGGGACGAATCATCTAAAACAGAGGAAAAAAATGGGGCTGGAGGGACAAAACCTCTTTAGCAAATGTTTAGCAGTAATTTCCCAAGAACTTCTGAAGTTTTCTCTTTTCTGCTTCTGGGTATAGAAAGAGAAAGAAGAAGCGAGGAGAAAAGCACACTTGGTCTTTCCTGTGATTGGCTCAATCTTTAAGGAGAAGAGATTGCTTATAACATAGACAGTAGTCTCCCAACTAGAGATGAACAAGTCCAGAGATGTTGCACCACATTATTAGTCCCATTGGGAAAGGCTTTCTGAATGATCTAAGTCAAGTTTCAGTATGAATTAATAATATAGATTAGTTTTTTTAAAAGGCACTAAAGACAGACATGACATAGTAGAAAACTTAATGAATGAGGAGTCAGGAGCCTGGAGTTCAAGTACTAATTCTGCCACTAACCTGGGCTACAGCTTTGAACAAGGCATTTTGTCTCTTTGGGTGTCAGTTTCCTTATCTGTAAAGTGAGGGAGAGGAATTCTACTAGATCAGGGTTGGTTTGTTTGCTTTTTTTAACCTGGAGTCCAAGGACTCCAAAGGGATCTGTGGATAGGTTTCAAATCTGTGAATTTGGATAGGAAAAAAAACTGGTCTTTACTTGAATACAACTGGTTTCCTTTATAATCACATGTATTTTATTTTATGCACCTAAAAACATTCTGAGAAGGGGTCCATAGGCTTCACTAGACTGCCAAAGAGATCCATGATACATAAAAGATTGAGAATCCCTTAACCCTAAATACTAACTAAAATCTTATGACATCTCATGAATTAAGTCTTAGGGAGTTGTTACCTTTTAAAAAAAAATACTGCAGCATCATCTTTAAAAATAAAGGTTACATAATATTCATTGAAATTGAGTTATTTTATTGAAAAAATTTTAATTTAAACAAGGAATATAACACTATTGATTGAAGAGGAGGAGGATGGAGATTTAAAAGAGTCACCACATGAGACTTCAGGCTAAATAGGCCTAATGGCTTGAGCTTTACTGTTCAAACCACGTCGCTGCGGAATACTCTTATTACTTGATAACAAAAGCTTCAAATTGCAGTTACAACATTTGAGGGAAACAATTCTAAGCACTAAAATTGCAAAAGTAAAGCTAAGAAGTAAAAGCAAATTTCAAACAAGTTATAGAATAAGAACCAGTTTAATTTCAGACTCAACCTGAAAGTAAGTGACCAGGTTCATTGAGTTGGGCTCATCCGGTCCTTGAACTCCCTAAACTCAGGTACTCAGCCCCAGTCTCCACAGCTGACAAGAGGGGGAGACGGTTATGGTTAGTGGAGGAATATAAGAATCTTTGTTGGGGGGAGGGGGCCATCATAAGATCACAGACCTAGAACTGGAAGGAGCTCAGAATCCAGCTGATCCAATCTCTTCATTTCACAGACGAGGAAACTGAAATTTAGAGACGTTAACTGATTTGGCCAAAGTCAGAGAGGTAATAAATGTCATATTATTAACATTATAAATATCAATAAAGGCAGGATTTGAAACCACATTTTCTAATTGCAGAGACAGCATTCTTTCCATTGTGCTGGTAAAGGCTGGTGGTAAATATTATATTAGTAGTACGCGGGTTCAAGAGAGTCAATGAGGTATGGTGTAGAGAGAGGGCTGACCTCAGAACCAGGAAGACCTGGGGGCTTCCAGTTCCACCTCTGACTATAGTGGCTTTGTGTCCTTTGGCAAGCCACCTGTGCTTAAGCTTGTGGGGCTGTAGGCAGCTTTCCAAGACTAGAAATCTCTGTGAGGGTGCCCACCTGCATTGGTAGAAGGCAGTTTCCTCACTTGGCACTTCCCTATGCCAGTGAAATTACAAATCCAGTTCCTATTCCTATCCCTCTGATTCTACTAGAGGCTTATAGAAGGAAAGGAAGAAAGAAGAAAGAAAGAAAAACAGGAAGGAAGGAAGAAAAAGAAAGGAAGAGAAAGAGAAGGAAAGAAAGGAAGGGAAGAAAGAAAAAGAAAAGAGTAAAAAAAGAAAAGGAAGGAAGGAAGGAAGAAAGGAAAGAAGAAAGGAAGGAAGAATATAAAAAAGAGCTACATTTTGGGGCATTAGTTTCTTACCAGCTCTGGTTATTCCCTTTTTAGCCAGTTGTAAGAGTCCCTTCTTTTTCAGTATGAAGCTGGAGCCTATGAAAACACTGGAACTTAAGGCCAGGACTAAGCCTAGAAAAAGGCTGTATTGGTTCTCTGCAGATGTAGAAATGCTCAGGCTTGTTCCATTGGAATTCTGGTTCTCCTGGGTGACATAAGAAGCCTTTAGTTGTGACACATTGGTGATCTGGCACCATGCCTGGTAGGAGTTGGAACATAGCAAAGAGAGCACAGAGCCTGGAAGAAGACAAATAGGAGAGGCATCACACAAATGAAAAAGTGCTTTATTGAGTAACCCATGCCTACCTTCATCAGACGGAGAAATAATAATTGCTCTCATTCATACCACATTCTTAAGGTTTACAACAGCAGTCCCCTGAGCCAGGTAGTTTAAGTCTTATATTTCCATGAATGTGTAATCTTCTCAATGTATGTACTCCCCACTACAGGGAAGACGGGAAGCGCTTCGTGCCTTTCCATTCAGTGCAATTCATGTCCATGCCTTTCATACAGGATCTACTCAACATACACGAGGCTTTCCTTTTCTTTTCTTTTCTTTTTTTTTTTTTAAATATATCTATGCAGTCAAAAAGCAGTACTTAAGGAGAAATTTCTATCTCTAAATGCTTTTGTCAATGAAACAGAGAAAACAGCAGACCAATGAATTGGGCATTGATATTTCATGTAAACCTTTGGGGGGTGGGGTCCCTTCATTATCCATAACTCTCACTATACGACGGGTCAGCTTCTTTTTCAGGTCCCTGACAATGCCATCTACGTAGCAGAAAAGATCATAGGATCATAGATTTATAGTTAGAGGGCACCCTAAAGGCCATTGAATCCAACACTCATTTTCTAGTACTCTATAGAGCGTTGGGCCTGGAGTCTGGAAGACACATCGACCTCAGATACTTACTAAATGTGTGACTCTGACAAAGTCGCTTAACCTTGTTTGCCTCAGTTTCCTCATCTGTAAAATGGGCTGGAGAAGGAAATGGCAAACCACTCCAGTCTTACTGCCAAGAAAACCCCAAATGGGTCGGGAAGAGTTGGACACAACAGAAAAACGACTCACAATAAACGGCTCATCCTATCTACCCCTCCAGAGCTACACATTGGTGATATGAAGCTGACTTACGCATACCACATAGCTTTACTTGGGGGGAAGGGGTGGAGACACTCAGGTTTCCTGTCTCATCCAGGCTGGAAGTACAGTGGCACAGGCCCGAGGTCACTGCTGATCAGCCTCAAAGATTTAGCCTGCTCTGTTTCTGTCCTTAAACAGCTTGTTAATCCTCTGCTCACCATAAAGGTTCTGGATTCTGTGTGTGTACACAAATGGCTTAAGCACTACTGGCGCTCCCAGGAACTCCCAGGCACAAGTGATTTACCAGCCTCACTCAACAAGAGCTTGGGTAATAGGAACCACGCCTGGCCCACCCAGTATCTTTCCACAACCCTTTGGATCACTTTCAAAGTGTAAATAGTATTATCTCCATTTTGTATTTAAGGTAACTGAAGCTAATAAAGTTTAAGGGACATGCCTTTGGTCATACAGCTAAGTGTTGGAGCTGGGACTCTGAAACCAGGCCTTTTGACTTCAAGGCTCTTTCCTCCAAATCACAGTCTCCTCCAGAATTCTGCAGAGCACTTGGCACATAAGCCTCATTTAACAAACAATAACTATTCCACAAGGAACCTAAATCATCTACTTGGTGATTTAAGAAGAAAGCATTCTTCCAAACCAGTCAACTGTGGTTATTTTTCCATACCAGTGTTAACTGAAGAGAACAATTCCTCAGGTTTTCTAATTTTCCTTCTAAATGAAATTAAGCCTAAGACTAAAATGAGTTGCGTACCTGTAGTTTTTTGTTTTTTTTTAATGTAATGAAGGCTAAATGAACAAATGACTCAACTGGATTAATTCCACTAAACATTAAATATAAAGTAAATGAAATTTTCAAGTATTGAAAAAATCCCCAAAATTCCTTACGGTGATATAATGCTAAATGGCAAACAGATTATTAATATTATCAGTCATGTCTTCTCTAAACTTTGTATCTCCCACAGCAGAAAGTTACCAAGTTTTGGGTTGAATTCAACTGAACTGATACAGAGAAAAAACTTGAGAACAAAAAAAGCAGAGTAGCAATCGAATTTTAACATAAAGGTACATTTGTTTCTCCTCAATTATGAAGAATTCCCACGAACAGTAAAGGACCTTATGTTCGTGTTAAAGAGAGTATTCATCACTTGACTTAGTGAATGACTATGTTCAGAGGTGAATATGTGGCTATTTAAAAAAAACATGCAAACACACCTCTCAAAGCATTTATACAAAGAAAAATTCTTTAATGTCTGATAAATCTGTTCTGTGGCATAACTTCAGTAAGAGGACAAGTATTTGTCCCATACAAGGGGCACAGGGCTGTGCTGGACAGAGTAGTCACCGCCGTGTCCCTTGGGCACCCAAGGGCGTGAGGCATGCTTCCTTCTGCTGACCCCATGAATTCGGGTCAAGCTCCCTTGCTGAGCTCTTAGCCACCAGTGAGCTACCAAACTGTGCGCAATTTCTTGTCTGCTTCCAGAACCAAGGGAAGTGACTCCTGTTGACCTTCCCCTGTTAGCATCTTCCCTCTGCCTCCTTCCCCTTCCTTCATTCTACCAGGGATTGGGGAAGGGAAGGTTGTCCAAAAGATTGTCTGCCATACCACAGGGGCATAAGATGAACTCTCTGAGGATGGGTTAGTGCTCCCCCAGTTTGAGAAATTCACCTGAGGAGCAATGAAAGTAAAAGCCAGTATATGCTGTCTTCCTGAGATACTGAGCTTTCCTGTACCCCCACAGTGAGTTCCTACTTGGCCCTGTTGCTTTCTCCCACTCTTCCCCAGGTCTCCCTTTCCCTTTCCAGGCACTAAAATAGTTCTGGCTCCGGCAGAATGTTACATGATCATCTGCGTTTTGCTACATCAAGAATTTAAAAATGGAAGAAATATTCAAATCGAAAATAATGGTGACATCAAAGAACTTAGAGGTTTCATTTCTCTTCCAAGGGTGGGGAACCTGCACAGCCTTGAGGCTGTACCCATTTGCCTTCCCAAGATCACAAGACTGATAGGACAGAAAGCGTTCTCATTTTATTGCTTAAACATATATCTAAAATGACGAGAACTGAGAAATGTGTGTTTTAAACAATTCAGGAACCTTAAAATACTTTCCACAATTTGCGACCACATATCAGAGCCAAAGAATCAAATGATGTCTCAGCATATTGCCATTACAACTCTGATTAAATTTCTTCAGCTCAGGTATTTTCAGTGCTATTCGATGATTTCTCTTCCTAGAAAGGACTCCTGTGGGCTTTCATGCAGGCTGACACAAGGCAAAGTGTTGCTGTCTAGACCCATCTCTCTGGCTCCCCCCCAAAAAACTTGAAAGTGATCGTATGTATTTTTGGTAGCAAAAATTCCCAGCAGCCATATCAGTATCAGTTACATTCCTGGCTGAAAAAATAGAAACAAACAACTCAAGACATCTGGCTTGACTGGCCAAAGCGAATTCCACCCCCAGTAGCATTCATGTCACTTAATATGTGGTTAACATAACTATTTCAAAAACTCCATCCCTGGAATCAGTGTAGGAGGATTCCATACCAGGGAAACAATGTTCTTTCTAAGAGGTCATGGCAGAACGTCTCCTACATTTATAGAGGAGGAAAAGAGGCTGAAGGGTGAGGTAGGAAATAAAATGATCTTTGTAATGTGCAAGTACCCATTGTATACATCGGACTTTAGAACAAACTTGAGTATGCTGTCGTGTCTGTGGCAGGAAAATGGTACAAGGCAGCCCAGTGGCTCCAATCGGATTACTGATTCCAGGAATTGAATGTTTTCATGTTGTGGTAACATTTAACTGGTGCATAAGGACAGATGTTGTGGCTTGAGGAAATAAAAAAGGACAGAGCAATGGAGGAATTGTTTATTTCAGTGTTACTTAGTGGGGAATTAAGAGTCAGTCGTTGCCTACAAGAAGTAATGAGGAAACAGGCATTCCATTCTCATTGGTCTCACTTAATGAGATATAGCATAGTGGATAAGACCACTTAACTTGGATTCCGAGAGGCTAGAGTTCAAATATCACTTTTGATGCTTGTTAGCTATATGATCAGCTGTGTGTTGAGTGCAAATTACTTAACCTCTCTGAGATTGTTTAATGAATGGGGATTATAATATTTATAGGACTTGCCCCAGAGTTGTGAGTTAAATACTTTTTTTTTTTTTTTGGGTTAGGCAATGGGGTTAAGTGACTTGCCCAGGGTCACACAGCTAGTAAGTGTTATGTGTCTGAGGCCGCATTTGAACTCAGGTCCTCCTGACTTCAGGGCCGGTGCTCTATCCACTGGACCACCTGGCTGCCCCTTTGAAGGCTTTAAAGTATTATATAAACACTACTATTATTGGCCCTATTGGAAAAATAAAATGTTGAGAGAGAAAGGGTGGTGTGATAGGCCAGATTTCAGAACTGCCTCTATTAAATTTAAAGTTGGGAGTAACATATACAGTACTTGCTGCTGAGAAATAAGCTGTACGTAAGCAGAACGGCTTGGAAGCTGAGAATGAGAGAAGTCACCTATTGGATGAATTAGTTTGGCTGAGACAACTTGCTCCGAGGTGTGAGTCTAAGGTGTAAGCCTGGATCCACCTAGCTTCTTAGCAGTGGAAGCATCTGCTCCTCACAGAAGCTACATTCATCAAGGAACTTTTATGAATAATTCCTGAGACAGAAAGAAGTCGATGAAATTTCCAATTCAAGTTGTGGGTCACCACGAGCACCATGAGCAGCATGAGTTTTCCTCGTTTAGATGCCTCCTTGACAGGTTTCTCTAAGTTAGCACATTGGTGACCCAGTTATAAGTAGATGTAATGTGTTTGTTCATTTACTTGTTTTGATATAGGAGAGACTGTCATGTCATTATTTCTTTTTGCTTTATTACAGGATGATTATTAAATATTATATTTAGATATTGTTAAAATTAAATATTATGGTATTTGTTACTAAAATAATTATTTTAAAGAACTAAAAGTGTCATTTTGAATGACTGATTTCCATAAATGGAAATGCATCAGCAAGAGTTCGAAAGCTATAGTGGTGACTAAGGGGAGTGTATTCCCCTATAACAATATCACTTCCAGTATTCTGAGACAATCTGAGTGTGGTGGTAGTCTTCCAGAAATGTA